ATCAGTAAAAACAACTGTCTAGCCACATAGTAAAGGACAAAGCCTGGGCAAAGAGGGGTCTCGAAAGTTGCCAAAGCTCTGCACCCTCCTCTTGCAACAGTACCACGCAAAGCACCCTGCTCTTCTAGGGTAAGAGCAAGCTCCCCTGGCCTGAAAAGAGATGACACCCACTGACAAATGACAGGGCAGAGACGTGGCTCCAGCCTCCACAGCTCAAATGACCACATTGTCTGCATTTATGAAATATTTTGAGAACCAATTACAAAGCTTTCATATTTTTCACTCTTTTTCTCTTCTTTAAACTGATAAATAGTATCTACTTATATAAAGCTGGGACGGTGTGGTAAAATGAAACGACTTAGAACACTGTCCATTTAGCCATCACCATGAAATTTCTACAATTCTGCTCAGGTGACTCTAATTCTTGGGGTATGTGTAAGTGTGACGTTAAAGTGAGAAAAATATATTCTGTCATAGGAAGAAGCTTCCATGGAGATAGTCACCCAATAGTAACTATGGGTGACTCAAAGTGACTCCACTTTGTGCTCAAAATTTAATTTCTGAAGGGAATTTTAGAGATTCTTCCTGCATTTCCAAAATCTTTCTAGTGTTTCTCTCAGTTAATTTGTTGGTCAGTTCATTTTGTGTGCTACAGTCTCCTGTTCTGCCTTGTTCCTCTCCACACTCCAGCCGCTACATTTAGAAAAGACACAAGGAACTCCTAACAACACTGGGCAAAATGGAATGAATCTGTCAGGAGTGTGTGAATAAAAAGTACCAATCCATTCTTCAACCGGAAATAAATCATATACTTCAGGCAGCAGAATCCAGTTAACAGGAAATACACATAAATATATGTTTAAAGTGCTCAGCAATAATCAGACATTACTGCAATTATTAAAGATTGTATACACAATACTGTCTTTTTTTATGTGTGATTTGTAAAAAAAAAAAAAAAAAAGCCTACCAACATAGTCTTAGGTAAATAGAGAACTAGTGATCCTTAAAATTTTCATATTTTATGAATAGGGGAGTCTCTTTCACTGGCTATTACAATAGTAACAACCTATTACATTATGGTTTGGGTTTTGCTTTAAATACTCAAGAGCCACATAACACCTGCATAGAAGAGGCCTGATTTTACTACCACTCCTCCGTAAACTTCTCTTACTGGGAAAAAAAAGAAAACCTTAAGCATCAGATTAAACACAACAGTAGTTAATTTTTAACACCTATCATTAGGTGAGAAGGCTAGAGCATCCCTGTGGTGATAAATTTCAACAACAATGTTGGAGAAATGGGTTTAAAGAGAAACAAATACATAAAGGCTTGGCTTTGAAGGCTGCCTTGCCCAGATATAAAAATAGATGGCTAAAATGTAAAAATCGATCCTAATGGCAACAGATCACTGCACTCTCCATTCCCAGGATATTAGGGAAACCTGAATATTTGATTTAGTAGCACCTTGGGAGTAGGCAGACCTGAAAATCCTCCAATAACCTTGAAAATATCCACTTCCTGTAGAAAAGAACTGAAAGCTCAAATCAAGGAACACCTCCACAGCTCCCTTCGCTCCCTACCAGCACAATGGATTAGAAGGCATCACAAATCTCCCCAAGTGTGTTGTCTTTTCTAAGCAGCAGTCCACAAATAAGGAGGTGAGTCAGAGGTCAGTCTCCTGGTCTTTGTAGGTGCTCGGGATCTCTTCCAGGCAGGGACCAAGGTCCCAGGTCCAAGACCTCCCCCTTCCCTTAGAATGGTTTTTCACATGGTTGGGGGCTGTGCTGGGGGAGTTATAGAGCTAGCTTTAGCTCCACAGCCTTCTGATACAGGGGAACAGATATTACTATTACACCAGAGTGGGTATGCTGCAGGCCTGCGCCACCCCTCCAATCCCCAACTCCCTGGTTTAGCTTTCATGGGATGCAAGGGGATCCAAAGGAATGTGGTAGAGAGGGGAGAAGGTCAAGAATGGCCTAGAAGCACTCAGGGCCCTGCAGCCAGGCAGGACAGTAGTGAGGAGCAATCATCTTTATGTCCCTGGAAGCAGCTCTCCTTCCAGGAAGAGCTGGACCCTTGTGCCAGCTTTTAGATATTGTGTAGCGAGGGGCCTGGTGCCAAGCATGAAGGCAGGAGGTGGGTGAGAAGGAGTTGGGAGCTCTCAGGAGTCTATCAGAGAGAGGGTGATCCCTGTTTGACACTGCAGAGCAAGCCACCAGAGCTGGGAATGCTAAGCAATCTGGTGGCCCCCTTAAGGAAGAAACTTAATAGTTCTACCATGTGGCTTTTCAGTACAGAGCACCACTGACTAGTCAGAATGGCATGGCATGCAGATGACCAATAGGCACAAGAAAAAAGTTCTCATCATCACTTATCATCAGGAAAATACAAATTAAAGCCACAGTGAGATACCACTTCACGCCTATAAGATAGGCCTGTGAAGGTGTAGAGGAAAAAAACCCTTTTACACTATTGATGAGACTGCAGACTGGTCCAGCCTCTATGGAAAACAGTATAGAAGTTCCTCAAGAAATGAAAAACCCTATGACCAAGCAATCCCTCTCCTAGTCAGGTATCCCCAAAATACAAAAACACCAATTCAAAGAGAAACTTGTTCTCTTATATACATTGCAGCACTATTTACAATAGCTAGCTACAGGAACAAATTGCAAATGAATGGATGATGATGTAGTCTATCTATACAATGGAATACTACTCAGCTATTAAAAAGGTGAAGTCTTGCCATTTGTTACAATGTAAAGATGGAACAGGAAGGGATAACTGTAAGTGAAATACGTCAAAAAGAAACACAAATCCAGATGCTTTTGCTCATGTGTGGAATACTTAAAATAAAAAAGGAACAGAGTAAAGCACACCCAGATAAATACTTGAAATCTGACAACAAAAATGAGGCTACTGGAAGGAGCAGGTAAGGAACTGGGAGAAAAGAGAGAGTGGTAAAAGATTATTGGGGCTTTGATGGTGGGCATGGCAAGACAATACATTTGCAGAACAGGGAGCCTATACCCTAAAATGTATACACTGAAAAATCAACACTAATTCTACAAACATAATACTAAAAACAAGAGTGATAGGATGCTAAACTTGGTAGCCTTGGTGTATCCAAGGTAGGAGTGATGGATCCTGTAAGAACAGAGGCCCTGGGAGAAGTCACCACTAGTTAGTGGGTGACCCTTCTGTCCTTTCACTCAGCTAACTGTTCATGTTCAAGTGGACGAGGCTGGCATGGTCAGCCAGCAGCAACAAGAGGAGGGAGTAGGGCAGAAAGAGTGGCATGGTGGTGGTGGGAAGGGTCGAACTGTGGAAGAAGGTAAGGTGGGTGTGTGGAGAAGATGCCCCCCAGAGAGGACCCAAGTGCCTCCTGACCCATGTATGCCTCAAGCTTCCTCCCCCATCCTCATGGGGCAACACACATCAGACCTCACACTGGAAGTCCCTTGTTAATTCAGTCACCAGCTTCCATTTGGCAAATAGTAAATGTGCCTGGCACAGTGCCAGGTGCTTCAGGTACACAGATGATCCCCAGACTGTGTGCCACACACCAGAATTAACCATACTGTCTTCTCCAAATTGCTTGCAAGGTTTTTTATCTTTTCAAACTTAAACCAGCGGACAAGAGTGCAGTCCGCAGGTCATATAAGCTTTGTGGAAACTATGTTACTCTTTTTCAGGAGTGGCTGTTAAAGACAAAGATCCCTGCAAAACAGGCCTGCCTAGAAAGCCAAATGACTCAGTAGAGGCCAAGGCCAGCAGGAGCATTCTGACCCTAGAACCCTGCACAGTGCACACCAACAGTTTCAACTCTGAGAGCCTTCTAGGGTTTTCCACAGAGGTTTTCTATGTGTTAATACTGGACTACAAAATCCTCCTAGTAGCTAGGATCGACCCTTGGAAAAATATGCTGAAATCTCTTCCCCTTCATATTACTTGTGCAAATAAAACATCTGGCACAGGTATGCTCTTGAGTTTTCAGTCTCTGGAAAATGCAAAAAGGGGTGAGCTTTTTTGCCATACTCCTTGTAAATGCAACTACTACTTGGCAAAAAAGTGCTTTATATTCAAATTCAGGGGAGGGGAAAGAGAGGGAAAATAAGGCTCAGTCTGTCATTCTTAGGAGTGAGATCCAGAGTAACAGGCACAGGCTCTTAGAAGAGAAACTCGGAAATGAGCTTTCTCCAAGCAACTGGCATTATCTAGACCTTACACCCAGTTACTTTTAATGCCCTGCCGGCCATGTGGAAATACTGAAATCCTTCTCTGAGATTCCTTGACTGAGGATTCTTTTCTGGCTCTTCCTTTAACCCTTGTGAATCTCAGAGCACCTCACTCAGGCTTCCTGATCCTTCAAAGTTCTGAAAAGGCCAGCATGGAAAGGTTCAGGCTGGGTCCTGGTAGTCTGTAGCCACAGTATCCAGCACTTCTGGAGGATTCGTGGTGTAGGAGTAAAAAAAATTTCAGAAACAGATTCCCAATCTCTTCTTTTTAAACGGACTAGAGTCCTTCACTTCTGTCAGAATTGCTCAAATATGGAGTGGGGCAGAGGGGGTTTCTGTGCTGGCTGGGGACGGTGGGAAGGAATGGGCTCTATTAGGGCCCTGTGCCTAGGAGGGAGGTGGCGGTAGCGAGGGTCTAGCCAGTCTTTGGAGTACTGTGCACAGTACTCCAAAATGAAAAGAAAAAGAAAATCCACCTGTGACTAAATTTAACACTTCACAATGCGGATCACCTTGCTGAACAGAAGGTTAAGAGACCCTGTCTTAAGCCTCCCAGGGGAAGTGCCAGTGTGGGGCTTTATGGGGGTTGGGGAGGGGGGCCCCGGGGCTACAGAACTCCTATGCCACTGGCCCTGATGCAGCATGGACTGCGGACTACCCAGAGCCCAGAACACCAGAGTGGTTAACTTAAGTCTGCCTGGAAGCCCCCGACCCAGGCGTCCCAGTCAGACTTCACAGTAACCTCACTGAGCCATCCACACTCACCTACTGCCAGGCAGATGGGGAGCAGCAGCCTGAACACGAGCCCGCACACCACTTCGGAAGCCATCGCGTCCACCGGCGAATTGGAGCGGAAGGGGCAGGGTTCGACGTCTGCTAAGGCTGGGGGGCTCGCGCCATGCCCGCCTAGGGCCTCCCGCCGTCAGCTCGCAGCCACCCAAGCATTGCCTGGGCCAGGGCCGCCGCGGTGCCGTCCGCCTCGAGGACGTTCTCACCAGGCTTTGGCCCACCCTCACCAGGGTCGCCGCGCCCCCCTCGCCAGGCTCCTGATCCCCCGAGTTAGGCCCATGAAGTGTAGACTCCGGGATTCCGCGGCGCCCTCAGCGGGTAGCTGGGTCGAGGCGCAGAGGAGGGCACTTTGGGAGGGTCTCAGGGGCGCTGCGCAGAGGATTGAGGGCAAGAAAGGTGTGCCGTCTTCTCGCCTGGCTCTTGGGGCGTCGCTCAGGGATTTCTGGAGCGTTTTCACGCGGAGTCCCCTTGGAAGCCCACCAGTTGTGGCTGCCCTCCCCGGACCGTCGGTCCCCGCAGACAGCGGCAGGCGGGCCGCCCTCCTGGGCTCCTGAGCTGCGCGCTGGCCCGCAAGATGCCGCGGCCGATCCGAAGCGGCGGTGCAGCTTAGCTTCTGAGACCCCCAGCTTCGGGACCGAGAGACCCGGGAGCCAGCGGCCAGACACTCGGAAGCATCCCAGACAGCAGCCGCGAAACGCGGGGAGGTTTGCTGGGGCCACTTCGCGTCCTTCCTTACTAGAAGGAATCGTGCGGGCGTGGGCAGAAGTCAAGAGGAAAGCGCAAAACGAGCGGGTGAGGCGCCAACTCCCTCCCTCACCGTCTCAATTAAAAAGGAAAATGAAGTGAAAATCCAACGCCGTCCGAATGCCCGCGCGTCCCTGCCGGCCACCGTGTAGCCTCGCCCTGGCGGCGCAGCCCGGGCTCCCCCGCGGGCGCGCACTTCTCCACCTTCAATGAAACTTTGGAAGCCTCACTCGGGGACGGGCGTGCCCCTGGGCCAATGGGGCTGCGGCACCAAGCGGACGCGAGGAGCCCGCCCCGCGCGGTGTGCCAAGCCCCCGCGTGCAGGGGCGCGGAGAGGGAGCCCTAGCCGTGGAGCCTGCGCTCAGGGAGAGGCTACGCCTCGCGGCTTGGTGGGCTTCATGGTCGGGATGGCCTTCCCGTTTCCTGCAAACCTGCAGCTCAGTTTAGTCCTGTCTTTCTGGATCCAGGCATCCTATCAACCTGCTGTGGCCTGGATTTAACCAACCCAGGGAATCTTCCAAAGCTCAGAGAAAAAAGAAACAACATGGGCTAGACATCTTCAGTTGTGCTAGCTTCTTGCAAATCCACTTTCGTGGATTCAGAAGAATAGAACCAGAATCAATAGAGAGACCCCGCCCATATTTAACTTGTGGGAACTTTCAACTCTGAATGGGTTCTGGAAATTCAAGGACTTTGGATATGCCCTGCTCTATACATTTGGAGGAAGTTTTGTTCAAGGTCCAGTTGGTTCGTTGCATGCCATGACTGTATTATTCCCTCTTCCCCCACAGCCTCGGTTTTTTCTTCTCTAGATTTAGATTCTTGTTCCATAAATCTAGAGAATCTGATTCTGGCCCGAAGATGCTGGTGTATCTGTCTCTTCTCCACCATTATCCAAGAGGGAAGAGCTGCCCCACTGGGATCCCCAGGGCAGAAAGCAGATGGCTGTCCTATCTGTGGACAAAACCATTCCCAGCTAACACTGCCACACAGATAAGGGGGGAAGGGAGGGTGGGAGTGTGTGCCTTCATATTCAGAACCTGCATCTTGGACTTGCATTAGTTGGACACCATGGGAGTGTCTGCTGGAGAAAACTAGGCAAATCTTGGTGCATTAGGTCTTCCATTTTTGAGATGCCACAAGCACAAAACCTTGTTTTGAGTTGAGCTCAGATGCTTTTACAAATTCTCTGAAAAATGCTAATGAACAGTCCTTTATTATGAACACCAGAGAGAACAAAATCTTGTGAAGATACCCTAAAACTTAGACCATCTGCGCTCTGGAGCCCAAAAGAAGCCTAGTTGTCTAAATCCATAGGTGGACATGGGTCAAATGGGGGTTGGGGTGGGGACTAGCAGGTATCAGAGGAACTTAAATTGCCAGGAAGTCATCACCTACTACTACCCAGGATGTTTTGTGTTTTGTAGAAGAAGCCTGACATGAATCTACCCTCAGTTTCCAAAAGTGTAGCATTTAATGTTCATAGGTGATAGTATTTCTGCCCCAACTCCAAATTTTCACACAGCTCACTTGAATTTTATACATGTCACTGCATGATTCCTTGGTCTTCTCTCAAATTTTTGTTTTGTTCTTGGTAGGGTTCCCATGTTAACAATTATCTAGATTTCTTCAAAGTAAGTGTCTTGGATATTTAGGTCAGGAGGCACATGCATTCCAGCAGATAAACAATAATACCAAATATACTTCTTGCTTTCTCTGTGGCACTGGGTGCCCAGCTATCTATTCAGCTGTAAGAGATTTTTTAAGGTCTGAATCCCACATCTAAGTCCACTATCTAGACTACACCTGTGTGCTGTATGCTTCCTGGCTGTTAGTTACAGGGGAGGGGGAATTTTTCTTAAATCTAAATGCTTGATCTACACACCCAAGATTCTGATAACTGTACTGCCACTTCCCATACCTGTATTTTTGGGAAAGCTCTCAGGTGATTGCCAATTGTTCAGTTGATATAGAGAACCTCATTTATTACTAGAACACAGGAAGCATGTTGCTAGACTTCAAATCTAGCATTGCCAAGCCAAATCCACTTCTCTGGAGTTGCATTTTTCTCATGGATTAAACCAGGCAAGTAGATCAATTATCTTTAAAAACAGCTGTTTTACCCTAAAATTTTCCTGGCCCAATAAGAGTATTTGGTGTCTAGACTGGTTTGTGTTTTAAGGAGTCTCTAGTCTATCAAAATATTGGTCCCATTGTTCAGGAGTCCTACTTACTTAGATCTTCACGCTTAATCTGAGTATGAACTTGCCCAAACCTTGGAATGGGGCAAAGAATGTTTGGGGAGAAGGTACACTACATAGAATATTCATAAAATTATGTTTTTATATTTGATGAGCTGACTACCTAAAGTTCTTATAACAAGTTAAGCATTGATAGTTAATGAAGCACTGGTCAACACAGAATCTCTGCAACTTTAAACAATCAATGGCTCTTGATCATTGTAGAGATTTTAGCATCTTGGATTCCTCATTTGTAATCTTATATGTGTAACCTAATATGTGATGTTGTAAAGATAGAGATGATTATTATAGAGTGCTTAGTGGCCTGTTTGGTGCATATAAACCAATCAGTGGGTACTAGCTATCACTATTATTGCTATTTGTATTATCAGAAAACAAAAACTGGTCGTACATTTCTGAAACTGTTATTCTGAAACACATTAAATTACTCTGTTACCCAGAAAGGTGCACTGACTCCTAGCAAATATGTTTAAAAACTGTGGCAAAGTCAAGAGGTATCATCCCAAATTTGCCCTTGAGTTCTAATTACAGAGAATGTCACTTTGTGCTTTTCATGGGTTTCATCTCATCTCTTTCTGAATTTACTTTAGTGCTAGAGTTATTCATAGACACATTCAGAAATACCATCTTTGTCCCAAATGATAATTGTCCTTAAGGTGCTTAATAAGCAAATACAGAGTTAATACCTTTTTTTTTAAGTCTAGTGTCATTTCACCCAATGTCAGTCATGTCCTCTAGAATATTTGTTAGCTTCTTTTGGAAGCTCTCAGAGTTGGACATTGTCTCAAATGGTAACTTTAAAAACCAGTAATCCTAGAGGAATACAAAAATTGTCAAGCAGACATTTTTAGCTTCCAGTAAAATATGCCAAGATCCATCGGCGCCCTCTAGCCTGTGGGGTACGCGGTGCTTCTAGACAACTTGAAGATGTCTGCTAGGATTTAGTAGCAGCGCTCCTCACACATAGGGAAATAATATATTTTGGTATACACGGTTTTGTGTTTACACTTATAATTTCCACTGTACATAAGTCACACTTTTATTTGGAATTTATTTTAGTTAATGGCCTCTTAGCCTTGGACTTGATAGCAGAATGGGAACCTTTCATTTTGCTAATTATTCTGTGGTTGCAAACATGTTTAAGTTGTCAACTTAATGTTGATAGTAGAAGTATATTGAAATTTCAAAAATCCAGACCACTGCTAGTGATATGTAGGAGAATCATCTTGTTACACCTCTGCTGAAGAGGTCTAACCTGCACACAGTCTTTATTACATTCATTCATAATAAAAGTGCACAACTTTTATGTATTCCACACATCACTGCCTCTGCCTTCTCACCCTTGTGAGTAATCTTGCTGAAAGATATACATAAAGCTTATACTGTAACCTGGCTATAATTTGTGAGTTCTATGTTATTCAGAATCTGAAGTAGACTGCTGGTTTTGTGTTGGTTGTTCATGAACATTGAAAAAATCATCTAAGTCACATGTTTTTGTTTTACAAACCAGATTATAGGTTTTCAGGGCATGGATAAAATTCCATCTAAAAAGAAAGCTGTAAAATTCAGAGTAAAACAAAATATTATTTTCAAAAGAGTTGTATTCTATTTCTTTGTTTCCATTGCAGACACACATACAAACATACACATATACATATCTATAACTGGGTAAGAATGATTTTATATTAAAATAAAGGAGCATATAAAACCTAGTTGTTGCCTGTTCATTGATGCATAATGAGAGAGGTTATAATTCAGTAGTAGGGTGTTCTGTTGAAGTTGGTGAGCTGCCTTGGGCACCCAGGCACCCAGATGGCTAACAGTAAAATATGGAAACCATCATTCATTATTCACAACCAACGTCTAGAACAGACTTTTAGCATATGGGTTGTGTGGCTCCTGTTTGTGTGTTTGGCTCCAAACCTTTGAAGAAGCTGCTGCTTTTAACATGACTTCAGTCAAAATGTCTTATCAAACTCTAAGAAGTTTAAGATAGAAAGTTTAAGAAAAGTTTTAAAATATATTAAGGAATATGGGGAACAATCAGGAGTGAAATATGGTATTGAAAGCAAGTTACTACACAAAGAAATTATAAGATTTTTGTTTTCTTTTCCTGTAATAACAGAACTTGAAAAGATTTCTTATTTATATCATAATAAGAATTTATTAGTTAACAAAGATTTCAGAATAATTTGTTCTAGTTATATTTATTGGATCCATCAGAATCCCTTAAGTGGTAATAAGATATCAATACTCATAGTAAGCCTAGGTGATTTTTATGTATTGATCTTATGGGATTTCAGATGTGTGTTTGCACATGAGTTTGTGCACATTTTAGAATTGACTATTTCTAACTATTAACATTAGCCTTTTAAGAGGATTTGTGGACCCGATTCAATGACTGTTGAGTCAGCTTGATCAAAGCTTTATTCACTTATTTTCCTGCAGTGCCATCTTTTGGCTGAAAATATATTGACAAAACACAAGTACATGCAGTTAAAAGCACAATCAACCAGGCCATTGCTACCAGCGATGTTGGTAAGCTCTCTGTGAGTGAAACCAGTACAGTTGCCACCTTTGTAAAGTGGCCACCCGGTAAGGAAAGGTGGGAATTAATCAGGTAGTTTTAAGGAATCACATAATAACAGACCACACGCAAGTGTTAGGTATGGTAGGAGACTATAACATGTGAACCCAGGAGAACAACCTCCTCACAAAGTTGTGTCTGTTGCATTTTGAAGAGTGCCTATGAATTTTCCAGAACATAAGCTCCTTGAGGGCAAGGATTTTGTCCTAATCATTCATCCGCAGAATCTAAGACAGGATGTTATTCATAACAAAAACTTTATAAACATAGGCTAAATTTTAAAAGGCGTGTTCTAGGTAAGGGTAAGGAATAAATCAAGGGGAAGGAATAATAGCCCATATGTAAGGGGCAGAAAATAGCCTGATTG